TGTGATTGAATTACGGAGAAGACTTTTTTTTTTAGGGTTCAGAGAATGCTGCACTAAAAAAGGCCTCATGTTTTTCATTTGATTTTACACATGTCAATATGTGGTGCACTGACACTTTATCCCACAGGAAGAGCAGATGGTTGGATTGGGCAGGAGTCAAATAAGGTATAATGTTGCATGTTCACATCTCTCTGCCTGGATTATATTAAATTAGGAGACATCACAGCCTGTCCTCACCCAGCTGTTAAAAAAGGGTGAAAACAGCCAAAAAGCCAAACAATTAGCTCATGTGTCACTTCTGAATCCACTGCTTATATTTAAAACCACAGTGCCATGTTTTTGCCTTGGACCTAAAAGACTGATCACAACCATTTTTATACCACAGATACAGTGTGATGATTTACTATTCACTTGACTCTTCTCAAGATGCTTGTGCCTTTAATGAAGCACAGAGGTTTACATCTCAATATCGTTTCATTTTGTATGTCTGCTATGTGTTTTCCCATATAATTAAAAATAAAAACCATAGTCACAGAGGCTATGTTTGTTTCTGATGTGTGACAAGTGCTAATAGCATCAACTCTGTCCATTTTAAGGCTGACTGATGTCTCGTCATTGACTGCACATACAGTTCAAGGCCAGTTAGCACATTTATCAGTGCACATGTTCGTTCATCTTGAGAAGTTCTGACTCAGCCAAGCCAGCCATGATTTTATCGTCTAAACTAAACAGGAGGAAAGAAGTGTATAATGAAAAACAGTATAATGCTGACGGCTGCATGCACAAAAAGCATCTGCCAAATGAATATAATGTAATGTAGCGGAGGTTGTACCAGGAAATGAGTGACGCTGGACTGGCTGACACTTTCATTTACAGTGACACTGGACATCAGCATCTTCTAATGCACACAGACTCCTTGTGGACTTACAGCAACATTATCAATGAAAACACAAGACTGGTTTAAACTTACAGTGGAATTAAGCCGGTCTTTTCTCCACTATCTCTAATAGGATATACAAGAACTGTGCAGTAGATGAGGACAAACCAGATTACACACATCATCCTAGATTCAATAGTTCACTTGAATCACACATTTGAACATGTAGCTTAATTCTTGTGCATAGTCTGAATTGTTGGAACGTGCATAAATCACTTTGCAAAACATGAAAGAATTGTTGACATGTTAATTAAGAAGACAGGATCATATGCATCTGCAGAGTCAGAGCAAAAGTCAAAATGTCTGCTTATGCAGCAGACAGCACTTGTGTGTGTGTGTGTGCAGCTTGTAATATAAGATGTGTGTTTGATACTCCATTTTTAAGCTGGTGGAATTGCAGAATTTGCTGATCTCATGGGGAAACTGGATACCAAAACATATCAAGCGTTGTCATACAATGAAACAGCATCAAACAAAAATGAATTATTCTTCTTACCTTCCTATTCAAATACTAATTTTCAAGTATTGTTTCTGACGACTAAAAACTTAAGTAACAAAAATGTAATTAGTGGATTCAGAAAAGACAAGACTTTGAGACACATTTTAAACCTGTCAGACAAACTGAATTTACAGTATCTGTTTGTTGCGCTCTGCTGCCAGCATGTGGTGAGAGGAGGCGATGGCTCAAAAGTCTCTCCCAAAGGATGATCTCTTCTTATGAGGTCACATGACATCAACACATATGTTTGAAAGACAACATCTCTGATTTCTTATTGGGTATGGTTGTAACACTTTTTGTCTTAGCACCTGTGACTCGCAGAATTTCTGTGTTAGAGCTCTTAAATTTTGGCACAAAGTAGTCTTATTTGTCTATTACAAATAGCAATGTTTCCAACTTCAACAATACCACAGAATTTATTAGTATGATGTCAAATACAAGAAGTTTGTTACAACCTGCTCCACTGGATATGCTGTAAAAATAAGAGTAAAGACGTGGAAGTGGTCACACAGTATGACTCACAGGTCATACCTTCTTGGTGACAGTGGTGCTGTTACAACCCCTGTTTGTTCTGCCTTTTCTTTCTCCTCACAGCATCAGACCTACAACAACAAAAACATTAACTACTACCACTTAAAGACCAGCCTCTACGACGTCTGTTGCTGCTGCTGCTGCTACAAACAATAACAATAATCAAACAGTCAGACAGCCGTCATGGTGGACAGTTAACGAGGTCTCGCAGCATTAGCCGCTCTGATTCTTATCAGAGATGGACTGCTTTCTTTTGAGATTGATCATTTTTTTCCAAATGCCATTAAAGAAGCAATTTCCTTGAGTCAAATGAAAGTAGGGGGAGGTTGTTCATTTGTCTGGGACATTTGTTTTTCATCAATACAATTTTAATAAACCCTGTCTTGTGTCTTTTATGAAAGAGCGGAGTAGATGAGTCCCCTAACGACTGGTGTACAAGACATATCAACCCCAGTGACCTCTTCAATTCCTGTATATCTAGGGTGGAGCCTTTATTGTTGTAGTTTCACACGCTCATGATGCACATGGATCACTGACTTCATTTTGAACTGTCAGTCCTGTACAATGATGTTATACTGTAGGAGAAAAGGACAGAGACTACCTGAGCCCCCTCATGCCAACGTTTTATCATCTCCTCCTGTAGTTTGTTAGTGTTCCACTAGCTTCTGTGACCCAGTGAGTTCTCAGAGGTTTTCTTTCATCATTCCTTCCTAAAAATGTCACGTCAAATTGATCAGTGCTTCGCAATTTGCTTGTGTTTATTCATTTGCAACATTCCTTGAGCTCTCTCCTCCACTGTAGGAAAATGGTTAACCGGAGGGATTTTAGAAGTTCATTTCCGATGCAGTACTTAGTAACAGTCTGCACCAAAAGAAAATTCAAAACCATAAAATGAAATCATACCACAGAGACATTCAGTTTGATCTGATGAGCAGGACTGACTGTTGTAGAACAGTTAATGTTGAAAAACAGGCTAATGACAGTGTTGTAATGGGACTAAAAAAAAACAGGGATTATGGTGTTTAGTAATATGAGGATGTTGCGTTGGGAACGAGAAGGACAAAATGATGCTTTAATCCCCAGAGCCAACAAAAAGCTCATGTTACCGACTTTGATAATGTGATTACTGCTGCCATCTGTTCCCTCTGCTCAACTTTTAGTTTCAGGCTGACTTTGACCCATGTCTCTATTTTAGGATTTAGCTGAAAACATATTTTTAGATCAATTTGCAAAAGCTTTGCAACAGTTTTTAAATTCATTTCCTACTTCATGAGATCAAATAGTTGCTAAGAATACAACAATGAATCACAGACTTGAAACTTGTCACATGAGCTACAAAACAGAAGCCTTTTACATAATCACCTCCGACGAGGATCTCTTAACAGGAAAGTTACATCAGATCCTGTTTACTATCAAATGTGTCTTATGCAAGGATGATTTTGATCCTCAGTAAGAAATGTATGTGTCCTCTTAAATCATGATTCCAGATAGTTATTTAATCCCAAAGTTCAGATTGCTCAGTTCAGTTTTCACTTGTACTGCAGCCTGTGTGTCATAAACTATTCTCCTCTGCCTGGTTCAGGTGTGTGTACTGACAACAGAAGAGATGTGTCGACAGCCCCTGCCTTTATGAAATCCTCTGGGTGTCATGTGCTGTAAGCACCAGCTGTTAAAGCTGTTGGTGATCATGTTGCTTGAAGTTTGATATCTAAATTTTATTCTTGTGCTCAGTCGACTGGTGATGTAATACATTCAGTACTTGTATGAAGTTTCAGATTAAAGTATGGACTTTTCATCCATGATGAGTAGGGTCATGCCCTCATGATCAACCTGTTGTAAACACAGGAGGGACCCACTACAGGACACAGACAGGGTGGTGGTGATAAGAAAAGAGTTTATATTCTAGAGGAGGATCTGGATGAGAGGCTACTGGGAGGGAGTCATAAATCCAGGAGGGAGGAATGGAGTTAATGGAGGACAGGAGAGGTGGGTGATGATCCCTGAAACAAGGGGGACAGGTTAGTCACACTGAACACAAAGATATTGAATCACTAGAGATATAAACAAAGTTGGCCTGGAAGTGTAACTACCACTTTGGTTGACATAACAACCTGGCGAGTAATGGTCGAAGGGTCGGGGTAGATCTACTGCAAGCTGATGAGAGGCAGATGAGCAGGCTGGGAGAGGTGACCAGTCGAGGAGAATGAGGAAGTTCAAAATGCCATTCAACACGTCAACATACATTATACCAATATGCCTGTGTTTGTCTGTGTGTTACTTGTTATTTTGCACCTGTCTTGTCACCCACAGTGTTGTTCCTGTCACGTCTTTCACTTGTTTTGTACCTGCATCACCTAAAAAAAAAATGTTATAAACTGTGATCACCCCCATCTTATCTCCTGTATTGTCCACAGGCAGCTGATGGCTTTCTTTTTGTTGTTGACTGTGATCGAGGCAATATTTGTTTTTGAATCGGTGCTGAGCATTACTTCTGTAACGTTAAATGATGTATGAAAACTGTGTTTTGTGACTGAATGGATGCGGATACTGGCTTAAGGAATATGGCCCTCACTCCTCCTCCTGCATTTCATCTTTGTGTCTCCAGAATGACCTGAAGGGCCAGAGCCTGTTTGATTACCTGCATCCTCAGCGGTCACCGCACAACAAGAGGGACTCACCAGTGTGAAAACTTATCCACAGTAACAACAAGAGCGTCTTAATGAATTTCTGTTTAAACATAAACATGGAATAATACATCCAAACACTTTATATACCATTTACCTTACGTTCTAATGACAATATTGTATGGTTACTAAGTCTTTTTCCCTTTACCCCTATTTTGGTTCTGGTAGATACAGCTGTGTACTTATTAGATGTAATATAATAAACTAAACTAAACTAAACTAAACTAAAATAATAAGATTACAGTGTAACTTACAGGCTGCCATCTCCACTGTAACATTTTTAATTGTTTGTTTTTTAGGTGGTCTTTTCATGAGGCCAGATGTCAATCCAAGTACTTTATGACTTTTTTCTGGGGTGAGATGCTCATTTTTCTGCAGGATGAAGTTTAACCCAAACATGGAAGATGAAGATTTTCCCTCCAGCTGCTTAAAAACATGGAAGCAAAATGGTCTGTTGGTTAATCAGGGTCTGACAATCATAAATTAGTATTACTCATCAATGTAGAATATTAAATTTATATCACATAAAATACACCTGCACTTAGAATACACCTGAACCCCTTTCCTTTACTCACAGCATATCTTAAAGGCTTCTGCACCATTCACAGCAGTGGTTATTTAGAAAGTTGGTCTCCTACTGAGGTGGATATGGAAATAATGAGGCAGACATTGATGGATGTCACTTAAGCTGTCTTGTAGCTGTTGGCCGCCTGCATCCCCACACTGTTTCTCAGCTGGTGCAGAACCACGTCAAGGTCAAGCCCGTGGGGTTTGTTACATGGCATGTTGTTGATGGGACATGTGTCTTTGTAGATGGAAGGTGAGAACTTTAAAGTCTGATTTGGACTATTGAATATTCATATGTACACACCTGTTATCAATCATGTTTCAGATAGTAATGCTTAGATTTTGTGTCTTGATCAATAAATTATCCAGTATCACTAAAATATATTGAAAGACAATAAAGTGAACATGCTGTTTTCTCTTAAAGGGCCACTGTCATTTTGGCTTATTCACCTCAAGAGCTACTGGGAACATCATTTTATGAATACTGTCATGAGGATGATATTGTTCATTTAGCAGAATGTCACAAACAAGGTATATGTCTTACAGAGGGGACAGCACTTGATTAACCGTTATTGCCCATACACAGTGTACAAGGCTCTGTCTGCTGTCTAGTTAGAGCTGTAACACTAAAGCAGTCTGATCCGCTCTGGTCTGGTGGAATTACAGCGCTGTGCTGCAATGGTTGAAAAAATAGTGCTGTAGTTCATCTTACCTGTGGACAGTTCATCCATTACCTGTCCTTGTCCCCCTCTGTCGCTGTCTGCTCTAAGTGCTGCAGATGAGAGAGAAAATCAATACAAACTGCTACAGGTTAAAAATAAGGGATGGCTCATTCATCACACTAAGAAGCTGCTGGTTTAATTTTAAGAGCCCTTGGACCAAAGAAGTGGGGTAGCTACATGATCTCTACCAATACTGTAGTCATCTAAGTGAACCTGCCCTTTTCTTGCTTACAATGCAACATCATGTTGTATTATCCTGTTGTATCATATTCTTTCTAGGATTATTGTTATTATTAGGCATTAGACTGCTATCCAGGTTTATATTACTTGTATTATTTTAGGAGTTGTAGTATGTTTGTATTGTATTTTATTAAATGTATATTTAGTAGTTTAATAAGAGTCTAGTCAAGTTAGCGGCTCTGTGAGGCTGTAAACTAAATGCTCACATCACCATGCTAACATGCTTACAAAGACAATGCTAGCATGTTGATGTTCAGCAGGTTTAATGTTCACCATGTTGGTTTAGCTTGTTAGCGTGCTAACATTTGCTAATTAGCACTAAAACACAAAAAACAACCGAGACTGATGAAAGTGTCAGTGGTTTTATGGGTCATTTGGACATAAATGGACCTGCATTGGATAGGGCTTTTCTAGTCCTTTGACCACTCAAAGTGCTTTTTACACCATGAGTCACATTCACACATTCACACATTCACACACTGGTGGCCAAGGCTACCATACAAGGTGCCTCCTTAACAAACTCTCAGAGTGAAGGAACAGTCATCGGGAGCAATTTGGGGTTCAATATCTTGCTCAAGGATACTTTAACCGGAGGAGCCAGGGATTGATCCCCTAATCTTCCGATAAGTTGACGACTCACTCTACCTCTGAACCACAGCTGCCCACAAAACAAAAGCAGTTCCTGACCCAGGCTGACCTGGTACTAAAATGAGTTATTCAAAAAGAACCATTCATTGGTTTTCGCCCATCACTAATTGGTACCAAGTTAGGTGCCAATCCATTTAGTGGATGTTGAGATATTTGATTTGAAGTGAGCATTCTGACCTGCTGGTGGTGTTGGAGGAAACTAGAGGATCACAAAGGTCATTAGAATACATCAGGTGAAAACCATCTGTACCTAATTTTAGGCCAATCAATCATGTGGATGTTTGACAAAATATAAATACCAAAATTTTATATGAGCCTATCCAAGAGTTGTCAAGATACCTGGACCAAATTGGTGGACCGACCGACTGACAGACTGCTAGCATGGCTACACAAATTGCCATCAGTGGCTGCTGGCTAAGAAGAGCAGAACAGATGCAGGATATCTGCAAAGCCACTGTGTGACAACTAGGTTACATTATTTACAGCCAGGCCTCTTTCCTCACTCTTCTACTTTTTCATTCAACAACACAGTCCTTCAGCTGACAGACCTGAGAGTGGTTACCATCATCCTGCTGCCTCCTTACACAACATGGCCACCGTACTGATGCCAGATGACAAGCAAACAACCTTTTCTTATCTGCTTATTGTGTTTACGCGACACATAACACATCACACACGTTACAGCCTCGTCTTGTTGCAGGTGAAGAAGGGAAATCGGTGCCTGGAGTTCCAGATGGTATGAGGGCAGGCGCTGGTGATGAAAGGGTGGAGAATATGACCAGGAAGAAGGAACAAGGCAACCAAGCACAGGAGTACTCAACAATGCAGAAGGTCAGTGGTGTAGTGGAGGGTACACTCAGGTATACGGGGTATGCCCACTTCTTTTTCTTTCCAGTTACAGTATACCCACCTATCAGCTAAAACACCATTGTAATATATAGAAGAGTATGCCCACTTCCTCATCAGTAACCTACCTATCTACCTAGCAGTACACCTACCTCATCAACTACCACTACACCACTGCAGAAGGTCACAACATCATGTCAGGACGGAGGGGATGTTTTTGAAACATTGGACTGCTCTATGCCTCAGTCTGCAGGATGAGCTGTAGGTGGTCAACACTTGAACCTGGTATGATTATAGATTAGGTGTCCTACATGTCTGACATACCTGGAATGCCCTCATCATAAGAAACCTGCCTTCATACCTGCAGCAGAGGATGATAAAGCTGAGAATGGCAGGAGGAGGCTCAAAGGGGGAGGCAAATGTTTTCATTGAATCAGCAGGTCTGACCACTGACTTCCCTCAACACCTGATCCTACTGACAGCTGACAGCACTGCTCCTCTCACAGGGCCATATGTCTGACAATATGACAACTAAGTCAATCATCAATCTTTGAAAGGTGTTCTGGTAACATAAGAAAGTGCTCTAAGACTCTGAGATTGACTGCTACAAGACACGCTGATATCTGCCATAAAAAATAAGAGTTAAAGGAGGAAAATGATTCAGAACTAAAAGAGTCTTTCTTTACGTGAGGATCCTCTGTACATTTCCCTGTGCAGTCATTTCGCTGTAGCCTGTCCTGATTTGTTCAACTTACGATAAGGCTATAGTGAGGGCAAAAACAGGCACATGCACAGCCAGACCAGGTGGTGCTTGAGCAACTGCCCTTTGACTCAATAAGTGCCCCTTGTTGCAAGACATTTTTTTCTATTTCATTTTTTAATTTTGTATTTTAGCGGGCCTGTCACAATAATTACATTATCAACTTATTGAGGTCATGTCCATGTATCATGAGCTATTGACAGTTGTGTTTACATGCCTGTTGGTTTACGTAAGAGTGACTCTCCCCGCAGGGCAGCATCCATGTCTCCGACCTGCTTTCACTGGTGACAGCCAGTCAGGCAATGATCGTTTTGTCACTGCTGCGAAATTAAATCACTACTGCATGAGTGTATGGGTATCAAAATAAATAAATATGTAAGTAAATTAAATTTTGAAACAAGTATCAGTGGGGTGCCCTCGTTCACTTGAGCTCCTGCCCCTAAAACGTCTGGGCACAGTGCTGACAAAAGCCTCTCTGGTTTATTCTTGTATTATTTAAGCACCTGTTCAAATATTCATTCTGTATTTCTTGATGTTTTATTCATTGTACTAACATAATTGCGAAAGCTCCGGATCCATCTTGTGTAAGATGTCCCTCTTCAGTGAACATCAGTGTTCACTCACTTTGTTTTATTCATCACATCAGAGCGATCACTCCTGTGAGGGGTCTTATTAAAACTATCACCAAAGTTTAAAATTAAGGATTAAATATACAAAAAAAACATTATTTTGATGTCTTTATTTGATGATTTTAAGTTTTATTTTTTAACAACAATTTCAAGCTTTGCACAAAAAGATTCTGACCACAACAGCCTGTGCTCTGCTTAATATCTTGGCTGCGGGAGGAGCATAACATCACATATCAGATCCAGCCAGTGACTACATACCCAATTACAAGATTCAAAGACATCCGAAAGGAGTTCAACTGGAGATCATGACACGATGCGGTGATAACTGATTTTCTCCATAACCAGAAAGTCATGTTTTCTCCATATCAAGTCTTGTATTCTTCCCCCCAAAGCACATTTAGTTGTTAGGCCACCCAAGAGAATCAAAATCAAAATTATCAGTGAAATAAAACCTGTGAGAAAACAGTGACACCACAAGAGTGCTCAGCCAACCTGTCAAATTAAGGTACGATAACATTGTAAATAATAATGTTAATAATAATAATAATAATAATAATAAGTGTTTTACTGATTCTTTTTTTCCCCCAAACAGAAAAATAAATTCCTTTGGTCAAGTAAAAAACAAAATTAAAATAAGAGTGAACTCTTCCTTTCACCAGTCTTATGTCCCTCGAGTTTCTTTTTCTACAGTCAACCAGGTTCTTGAGGCTCTAAGGCTGCAAAGGAGGTGTCAAGGCAATATGGTTATGGTGCCCCTGGCGCTCCATGCTGCAGCATGCTGGGAGAAGGACTAGAGGAGTAGGAGAGGGGCAGAGGCATTGAAAGAGGACCAGTGTGTCCTCAGACAGCAGGTGAAGGTGCATCAGGGTCAGGCTCGTTGCTGTAGTTGTTGCTGTAGTGATTCCCACTAGGTGGGTGATTAGGGAGGATGTCAAGTTCATCCACTTGGGGGCCGGGGTGCATCACCACCAGCTGGTCCTGGGGGATGTCTGCTGCTGCAGCCGCCAGGTTTGTGATGGACTTGGACTTGACGCACTGGAAGTCCACATGGCGGCTTTTACCCTCTTCCTTTTCCCAGGACATGCGGATGAAGGGCCTCTGGACGTAGTTGTAAATGACCTCTGGACGACCTCCTGGTCGTTTTTTGACTTTCTCTTTATATGTAGGGTAGCCTGCCAAAGGAACAGTGTGGACAAATCATTAGCTTGGATTTTGTTAACGAGCTCTTTTCAGTCAGAATACAAAACAAGAGAATGATGAGACAAGAGCTTTTCAACCATTTGGCCAAGTGTTCAACACACTAATGATGTTTTAGTACTTTGAAGTATCTCTGATATATATATTTCCACTATAACTATGCTTTAAATGCTGAATTTATCAGTGAATACAGGTATCAGACAGTTACATTTTATGCTTTTTCCTGTTCAAGACATCTTATGACCAAATTTAGGACAGATGTTTGGACAAATCATGTTTTACTTATTTAAGCATCGCAGATAAGCATTGCATTGCAGGCAAGTGGTATATATGCGGTCTTGTGCAGAGGTAAGTGTTACGTAGGAATACGGTTATTAGAGTGACATAAGTCAGTCTACATTCTGCCAACAGGTAAGTACAAGGATGAAGTAAAATGACAGTATTATAGTTTTTAAAGATTTGTAACATTAGAAATGTGGACTTTTACATAGAGAGGCTTCACTCGTTTTCACAAAAAGAAATAAAAAATGGATAAGTGAAATTAGATAAAATGCTTGTAATAGTTAAGACCTCACAAATTCAAATGAAAGACTATTTAATTACTATTGTAACATTGAATTTAAGGCATTTGAAGACTTTTTTTAAAAGGACCTGCAGTCCTTTAATTTTGGTTTCAAGTTAGTAAAATACCTGGATAAGGCAGGATACTGTTCTGGTATCCAGTAGATGATGAAAACATCCAACCCCAAACCAAAGAAAATTAACTTTTTAACCAGTTAACTTTGGAAATTTTTGCCTTGTTTTTGCTAAACGGATACTTTGGTGACCAGCTTTGTATCATAACAATGTGGAT